CTCCGTGTGGTTTGCTTGGTCCTAACATATATTTACTTATTTTTAACAAGAACGCGAGAGCTTTGTGATGACCAGGACAAAATGCCGTGGATGCACACAAAGGTAACTTGTGACTGTCGTACAGTCCTTGTTCTGTGTAATGTACTGCTGCTGTACTGCAGGGCTGCTGTTTTTTCGTGTGGTTCACATCGCCTGCGACGTCTGACCTGCTTGGGTCTTACGTGTCGAATTTTCAGTAGCACCTACAGACTGTAGACTTTTCCTCTCTCTTCCGTTCTCCTTCCCTGGACGTACAGCAGTTAGCGCCCGCAATTAAGAAATATATTTTTAAGAAAGGCTCATTTTTCCTCGAAAACTAAGAAAGTCTAGGGTTAATATGAAACATGGCTCACGCTGGGTCACACAATAAGAAATGTCTCAATAAGAANACTAAGAAAGTCTAGGGTTAATATGAAACATGGCTCACGCTGGGTCACACAATAAGAAATGTCTCAATAAGAAACAGCGGCGACCGCTGCCCTACTACATAAGAAACGAGGGGTTACGGGGAAAGTGTGTCGAATGAGAAACACCCCACATCTCCTTCTATTTTTCGCTCTTTTCCCCCCTCTCCCACTACCGCCCCCCTCCCAACCAAGTGCGTTATTAGTTATACGAAGAGGGGGGAGTGTGTTTTTTTTGCGGCGCCCCCTTCGGCCCCCCACCGGCTCTGGCGCTCTCTGGCGCTCCGGCTCTGGCACAGCACACCAGACAGGCTGCGAACCACGATATGCTGTCTGCTGTACGGTTTTGATGGTGCTATCCGCCAGCTCTCGTGAGCAGAGAAAACAAGAAATTGCCGATTGATTGAAGAAATTCAGCAGGATTTGGCGGCACGAAAAGAAGAAACTTGACATAGGAAATTGAACGACACACGCTGAGTTTATAGCCCACAATAAGAATTCGAGGCTGGACCTGAAAAAAGCGTTTCTCAATTGCGGGCGCTAACTGTATCGTCTTTGTAATTTACGTCTTTTTTGTTTGTTTTGTCTTCCCCTCAAAATCAGCGCTCACAGCTTGTTGTGCCGTCTATATATACGCGTCGTCACACAGAAGGGTTTCTCTCCCTGAGAACCCCTACCCACCCCTCCTGCGGTACTTCACCTTCGTTGTTAATGCGAGAAGAGTGCAGCACTCTCTTCCCTCTGTGTACATACGAACTACACAGCGCTACTCACCCAGGCCAGGAAGGCGAGAGAAAAACTCACTTTGCAAGAAAAGCTAACTTACGCCGGGAATTCGAACCCCGGACCATAGTAACCACTATTATGAGGGTTATTGAGGATACCAACTACATAGACTACCGGGGCGACCACAGATAATGAAAAGTGTTTAATCGTAGAATACTCATTGATAGGGTCCTGTGACACCGACGCCTTTTTTTGTGGTCGCAGAGTCGAAGGTACAGTACACCGAGAAGAAATCGGTTACAATCCATCAACAAATGACAGAGCACAGCATCAGCATCCACGTGAAGATTACGTCAGCAAGGCTCTTCCACACAGAGATGTTGTTTTCCTACCATTTCTCATTTGATATCGTCGCCTTAGCCTTGCACCGACCTCCGGCTTGCCACATAATCTAAGAGCAAAGTGGACGGTCGTTGTCAAGCAGGCGACTCCCCATTCTCCCTTGGCTCTTTTGTAGATGGCATGTACTAACGCGAGACCGAAGAGAGTTAGCATTGCATCACTCGAGAATTCACTCGAGAGCCCTCCCCTTACAACTCTCTACTTGAAGGCAAGATATATACACACTTGCTCACAATTGAGGGGCCAACTCTCTCCGTCGTGTATGGTTCAGAGCAACCACGTGGAGAAACGCTTGGAAGGCAACAAGGCCCTCTCTGGACCACCGGGGGGCGATCTGTGCTGCTATTTTTTTATGGAAACAACCATTCGATGTGAAGGAGTGCCTCGGGGCAAAATATCAAATCTCTTGGAACTGGCATTGCGCTTGACGCGACTCACATCCTTCATGGCGCGAGCTAGTACGATCAAAAGCTTATTCGTGTCTATCTATGCTTCTCTTGCTCGAGACGAGAAAACCTCGGAAGGCTACGAAATCATCTAGGGTACATACATGACTAGCGCACAAGGCGAGTAAACCCCCCACTGTCGTGGTCTCGGTTGCAAAGCTCACCGCACAGCAACACCAAAACGACCAATGGCAAGCTCTCCACCTTGCCCGACTTGAAACAATAATGGTTCGAATCGAAAAACGAAAAAAAAAGAAGGGGGGGGGGGAACAACGAACTGAGAGCGTATGAACACCTCGACCTGCCGGAAATGGCTTCGTGAATGACAGGCCCCTCCATAGAGGCCCCGCAAATCTGCGCGTAAACTCGTGAAAGTGCCAGGAAGCACAGATGCGGATACAAACTACGCCGCTTAAAAGAACAGCAATGCGCCCTCACAACACTGCCGCACAACAAATACTTCCCTGCCCATGATCCCGCACGCCATGGACTCAAGTCGACAAAAAGCAAACGAAATCACGCGTTTAGCAACTCCTACAACGCGAGCCAGGCAGAACAAGGCGTGAGCACCTGAGGATGCCCGGGTAGCTGCTGCGGAGTTCGCGACGTGCAAGTCACATAACAAAGTATTTGGCACGCTTATATGTGGAAAGCACAGATAACACCGTACACACCATCTGACAAAAGAGAAACGAGAGGCAAAACGAGGCCCGGGCTGTCATTTAGCGCTGACTTGCAGTAGGGAGGCCGTATGTAAGAGTCAACAAGTATGACAATAAAAAAATAAAAGCGTCCAACCTCCCGGTGCCAACGCCACCAGAGTATCAGAAGCTATTTACAACGACAACAGTTTGGGGCTGAACGTGCCACACACCAAACGAGCAGTTGGTCATGTTCATCTCTCTCGCCGTGTCAACGGACCGCTCGTACCCGGCACAATACGGCGGGTTTCTCCTCCGTGTCACTCCCAATCCCGGCAGCGATAGGGATTGTTGCCACCTCTTATGCATGGCCGCCGGCGCCACGCATGTTCCTCAGCGCTACACGCACAAAAGGCAGCCAGGCACACCCAATGTCCCCGCCGAAGCTACTAAAACTTGGAAATGTTATTGGTGTACTTCATGGTCACGGCGCTTTGAGGCACTGATACGGGCTTGATGTTCCCCTCGTCGTCAAGACCGGTGGCGAACGGGATAGCCTCGCCCGAGTGTGGCACGAACGACCCTTCGCCGGGCACCCCGTCGGGGGCATTGGTGGTGCCGGCGTGCACGAGCAGCGGTGTCCAGACGTCCGGCGAGCTGATGCAATGCGGGGTCTTCAGCATCACACTGAGCGTGTGCTTCACCTCGATGAGGTCTGCCTGCAGGGTGAGCAGGCTGTTGCCGGGGACCAAGAGGTCGTAGCGAGTGCCGGCCCCAGCGCCGAGCTGCTCCTGTAGGTCCGCCCGCGCAGTGTCCGCTATCACGGCAGAGCTCCGCCCGCGCTGGTTCCCTTTCTCGGTTGCTCGGAGCTGTGTCCCCGGAACGACGATCGCCGCAACCGTGCGAGTCTTGCTCTCTTTGTAGCCCCGGGCGAACCACGTGGACACCTGCTTGATCTCAACGTGCATGGTTTTCACCTCAGCGGAACTGTCGTTACGGGCCACGACTGTAAGCCCTACGGTTTCGTTTAGCCCCACCTCCGAGTGGTCCGCCTGGAATCCAATGCTCATGCTGGTGGGCGCGCCGGAAAAGGTACGGAGCAAACGTTTGCGGAGGGGAGCATTCGGGAACACGGCCAACGTATTGTATCTCCGAGGCAAAACACGGCGCACACCTTTCGGTGTCTCGACCAAATCTATGCGTAACCGCTGTGCTCGTGTGATGGACTACCACAAACAACGTCCATATCCAGATATCTACCAAAGCAGAGATAAGGGAGCTGCGTGCATTGTAAAACAGTGTATCACACACCCTGAGGCGGTATTCAGAACTCAACCGCGAAAAAAAAAGAAGGTGAAGCACCGGGCCATGTACCTTGCGGAAGTTCGTGCAGGGGGATTTCAAACCAACCTCTGTATTTTACTCAACGTCGAGTAAATTCTTGAAAAAGTAGTTCAAACATGCTCCACCTTTACCCAAACCGTTGAGTAGACTTAAGGATGCATGTTTTAAACATACTCAACCGTACTCAAAAGTTTGAGGACGTATTTCAAAACTATTCAGCCGCTTAGCATTGCTTTTCGAAACACAGCCTTATTTGCACCCTATGTGACTTCCTCAAATCTCCCGTTGTGAAGATGTTGGACAGCTATATTTCCAACCCAATTAGACTTCAGCCGTCGGTTTCCCAAGGATCAACTCAACATCAAAAAACACGGTTGCTCCATTCAGTGTCAAGATCGCACCACGACATCACATACACGGACATCGCCAGCTGTAACACCAGACGATAGCGAAACGGAGATCGCTCACCTCCCGCTCTTCAAGCAACATAACTTCTTCACCGTCTGCGTAGCTGGGCCCACCAGCACAGGCGTTGCGGCGCTGGCCTCGTGTGGTTTGCTCAACACGATCAACTTTGCTTTCCCCTTTGCGTCGAAGTGGAGCATCCCTGGTCGGTGCAGCCGCGCCTCGAAGCCATAGACAATCTCACAGCTTCCTCCCTGGGAGCCGTTCTCCTGTGATAAAAAACATGAACGAGCGCCCCGCACGTGTCAAGGTGGCCGTATCTTGACATCAGCCACGTTTTTCTTCACTCTCATAACAAACGCAGCAAGCACTCCGGAAATCGCAACAAGATATCACGAGACAAGGGATTGCCACATACATTGAACTGTTACGACACGCACGGTGCTCTGTTAGCTGATTCCCAGTGTGTAGCTCCGTCTAGAGGTAGCAAAAGCCAGTACCATCGCAAGCACCACCAAGCAGCCATTCATGTTTGCATGAACCAGAATAGACCTATCGTCGTATGCATAGATCACGCACAACCACGGCCCGAGATCCCACCTCCATGGATGGCGGCAGCCCCGGGGGAAGCATCACTTGGAAAGGGAAGCTATGGCGCCCTGACGCCGCCTTCCCGCCGAAAGCCGCTAGCTGGACATCGTACGAGAGGAACTCCTTCTTCTCGGTCAGCATTTCTCGGTGGGTGTACGACTGCGCGTTGCTATTGTTGTGGGCCATGTTCGTCGTGTCGTACATGACCCGAGTCTTGGCCACGCCATACAGTCGGAGCACGAGCTCATCCGCCGACGACCCTTCCTCGTTTTTCTGGACGTTTGTCAGTCATGAGGGCGGAATGTGGGCAGAGCGGCATAGTGGAATCAAGGGCGGTGTCACCACCGCACGCTTTGGCTTGAAACCAAGTACACAAAAACACAAAGAGGACTCTAAAGGCGAAATGGAGAATCAACAAGACAAACCATGACCGCTCCTCCTCAATACCGATGTAGCCAGAACCGGTGTCGGAGTCATTTTGTTTGATGCACTCATCCGCGTTCGGTCCTCATCCGTTCTCATAAGCTTCGTAGGTCGCTTCGTGGACGCATCCGCGTGCAAACCCCCTCAGCGTGACGTGTGTGGAGAGCGGAGGCTGAACGGATGGGCCCGACGAAACGCCGCACCAATGTTGCCTTTTTTCCATCCCTTCAGCGACGGACACCCATGCTGCTGCTGAATACTATGTACATGGACCCGCTGCGATGACAGTAACTTTTCTGGGAAGTTCCGAGGGTCATGTACACAGCAGTTTATTGCCGTCGTCATGCAACAAAGAGCAGTAAACATCATCGCTTCTTCCGACGATATGATGCGGATGCAAGTATGAGGAGGCGCTGTTTTAACTCACCGCAGAGACATTGAGGTGGACAGCGCCTTCGATGACATCTCCAGCATAGCAGGCCCCTTGCCGAGTGGAAATGGTGACGTCGATGCCCATGGTGTATACCACCGACCGTACGTCGATGTCCTGCACATAAGGTTGGGAAAATGAGCACGAATTTTTGGGAATCGATGACACATGTACATTCTGTGTAGACTAGACTTAGACAACATAGACTGCCTTCCTGACATACGCGATATATAGAGAATACCCTTGCCGCCGACCACATATACGAGAGATAACCTCATAGGTAGTCATCGCTCAGGTTCTGTGTGCCACCACACGCTAGGCAAACAGCGAAAGAACACCGAGAGGGCAGAGAGGCGGGAAGACATTCCAGATGATCAATGTTGAAGAGCTGCACACGCCAAGGGCTAGGGCTCCGGCCGCTACGCCAACGCCAACGCCAACGCCAACAACTCAAGCCTCAACAACATCGACGCCAACTCCACGTGGATATGCACCTTTCGAGGTGCTGTAGAAACGCGATGTGGAGTGCACAAGGTTGCAGGGATGTTCGGCGGAGTACACCACCCAAGCACCCAAGCACACATGCAAGGTTGCCGACCAGCAGCACCACTGCAGATCTCCGAACATTACGTCAGATCTCCCAAAAGGAGCTCCGTGTATCAAGAACACATACCCATGTGGTTCGCAATGGCTGGCGTGCCCCGAGGAACGTGCTGTGTGGGGCCTGGTGGGCTCAGCTCGCCAGCCCCGGTTGTTCGCCTACTCCCATCGATCAAGGTGAGACAGGTTGTCCTGACTGGCGCTGCAAGCGATTGTGCCAGCGAGCGTGGCCGGAAAGCTTCGGGCGGAGTACAGTTTTTTTTATCAAATGCCCAGATTTTTGAGTGGGTGTCAAGTTAGGGCGGCGCGAAGCGTTGTTTTGCTTTCTATGGTGAGAGAGGCAGCAGCCGGTCGGCTCTCATGGGAGGTCATCTCATGACAAGATTGAGCTTGCGTGTGTTAGTTTTCTGCCCTTTTGCCATAGCCATGCGAGCGCCAAATTGGACTGTCTAGCGAGAAAAATGGGCATCAGGACCAAGAAAAAGGTAAGGTGTGGATGGAGGAGGCGCCAACAACCTGCGTGTGTTGACAGCGAGAGGGAGAAAGGCGATCCATGAGGCGCACGCATTGCCAGCCCCCTGAACCTTGTCTCCTCCGCCTTTCGCCTCTAACCGTAGCTATTATCTCCCCCTTGCTCTGTTCAAGCCTGCGGGTGACGTTGTTCAATCTACTGGGCATCGACAAGTCTGGTCGTCTGCTTTATTTATGAAGCACAATGATAAAGTTTCTGAGAGGGTGTACAGCAGGCCCCTATTTGCTGGTGTCCTGGTGTGGCATTTTCCATTGGTATGCAATGTCGGCGGCGGTGTCAAAGAGAGACTTTCTCACTGTCGGCAGTGGCTTTGTGGTCGTGGTTGTGGAAGTCCTTCCTTCTTTGTTGACCAGACCTGCGTGCATCTCACCTCTCCGTGTTCACAAATACAACGGCACACCAGCGGTACTTCGCCAGTCAGATGGAAGTCGTGATTCCACCGCTGGTTGCCGATGTAGTGTGTAGTGTGTGCATGGGACAACGAAAGTGTCGCCAAGTAGATGAGCGTTATTCGCTGCCGTGGCTGACTATATGTTTCTAGCTGGGAAGAGAGTGCAAACGAATCGAGAGGTGCAAGCACGAAACTAGGAGGTAAAGAACGGGAAAAAACACAAGCCAGAAATATTATAATGGTGTTCTTGGCTGAAGTTCCCCTGCCTGCCCCCTTTACTGCCATGCAGTCTGAAATTCAATATCAAGGGCGTCATCCACCACGCCTTTCTGTTGCCAAATACAGTCGTTGTCTTGGTTTAGCGGTTCCCTGTTTAGCGGGATGCCCTGAATAGCGGTCCACAAATCTCGTGGCACGGCTGCACCTCGGTAGTCAAACTACAGCAGAACTGCCAATCCGGTTTACCGGCGATGCCATCATAGCGATTTAACATTTTGTGACACTATGGACCGCTAGACCCGGACCACGACTGATCTCACTCGGTCGTCTAACGTGCCCCATTTCTTTTTTATGTCTTGTGGGGGGCGTCCGCAGATGGTGAACGTTCCCAAGGAGAGGAGGACCTACTGCAAGGACAAGAGGTGCAACAAGCACACTGTGCACAAGGTCACCCAGTACAAGTCCGGCAAGGCCTCCAACTTCGCTCAGGTAACGTCGGCACCACGAAATCACGGAACATGCCATGTCTCTTGCAAGTTGACAGGGATCGAATAGCAGACTGCTGTGGTTCGGCTTGCTGTCTCCGAAGTTTCATTGTTATTCTGTTGCCGGCTTCAAGCAGTCCCCCTCCATGCCCTGGCGTACCGTAAACTACATATATATGTACAACGCCAGATGTGGAAGTAGCATTCAGTTTGCGTGGAATTGAAAACATGCCCACATCACTACTTAGTGGGCGGTACGCCGAAGGACTGCTGTTTATGCCGCAGAAAAAAAAAGAACTGTTCGCCAGGGGTAAGTGGGGTATGCGTAGAAGCGGTTGTCGACCTATACAAAGGCGATACGTTTGTCTACCAACAGAAGCTACGTTTGCAGCGGTTGTGTTATTTCGCTGGTGCTGATCATAACGGGTGCTATTCTCTGGGAGGGCATCTCCCTCGAAGCAGGTGCCGGGTTATGCGGGCATGTTCGACCCCCTGTATTCTCAGATGTCATTTATCGCGATTTTGCAGCGAACCCTTGTTGAAAATGCGGCATGTGTACCACCTTGCCCCTGTTCTTGACTGACCCATCCCACCTTGTCTGCTCTTCTTTCCACGGCCTTTCGGAACCTGGCTTGCGCGATGGCGACAGGGTAAGCGTCGGTATGACCACAAGCAGAGGGGTTTCGGTGGACAGACCAAGCCCATCTTCCACAAGAAGGTGAGGTCTCGAGACTTTTTGAGTAGCCCCCGACCGCCTTTTTCTCTAAGCTCAGAGGGTGTGCATGAGTGCCATGCCTGCTGTCAGCATGCACATGAGACACGGGTGTGTGTGCGCGCGCTGGTACTCTGCTGTGCATGGAGGACAATATTTTTTGCTGGTGCTTGTATAAACTAAGGGTAAGGGTGGATCGCGTTTGTCAAGACACGACAGCGCGTCAAGTGGAGAGCCGGCAACGTTCATCGCTTCGTGCGTAGCTGCTATGATCGCGTTGCTCCGGATCTCTATTAGTACCTCGTCTTCCCGACTCTTGAGTACAGAGATGCGCATTTCCATATGCCGTTGGCCTCCCAGCTTTTGCCCTTTCCTGACGACGGTGTTGGTTGTCGACCCTTCCGACCTCAACACGACCTCGTGTTTAGGGCTGTGACTGCTGTGCACCGCTTTCTCGCAAACCTCCTGAATCCTACAGCAGTCCCCGTCAACCTGTTTTCGCGACCACGCCACGCCTGTTGTTGTTGTCCGCCTGCCTGTTTCGTTGTCCAGGCCAAGACCACCAAGAAGGTGACCCTTCGGCTGGAGTGCAAGATGTGCAAGGCCAAGAAGCAGCTCGTCATCGCCCGCTGCAAGCACTTCGAGCTCGGCGAGAAGAAGCAGGCCACCGGCCACCAGTACTGAGCAGCCCGACCTCGTTGTCGCCGAAACGCGAGTCGGACCGGAAGGGGGGGCTGGGGGGAGCGTGCCTTTTTTTGGAGGGGAGCGGGTTGTCGTTGTGTGTTGCTGGTATTTTTTCGCTAGAACGCCGTCTTCACGGTCGTGTGGGATCTGGCGCGGCTGATTCTTTTGCCGGGCTTTGAACCACCCACACGTGTCATGTGTTAACGGTTACTACAACTCCCGCTGTTAATTCCAAGGCACTTCTTCTTCCGAGTTATTTTTTTGGTGGCGTGGACGGGTATGAACACCTTCCATCCCTCGCGGTGCCCCTGCGAACGGAGGGCTGACTTAACCGAAAGGCTCTAGGCGGGCGCGGGCGCCTCGAGTTGCGCCGCCTGGTTGTGGAGACCGCGCTGTGTGTCGCTCCCACGCCCCGTGCCTTGAGTCATAAAATATTGTCCGAGGACAAAGGTAGTAACAGCAGTGCTCTTGCCGACCGGGTGACCTATCACATGTGTTTGTCACTTGTGATGCCGCGCGGTCACGATAGTTCATGCCCTATCTCCCTCCGGTGGCGATGTTACACAAACACCCTCATGCCTCCCATCACACGGGGCGCATAAATTCACCGACTCGACAGCCCGGAAAAAGCAGTGGGGGGCGACGACGGCGTCATGCTTGTCGGAGTTCGCTCCGTTTTTCCGTGTCTCGGCGCATTACATGCGAGTGGCGCTAGAAACAGTAACAAATATGTTCGTTGCCTCGGAGGGTATGGGGTAATTGCTTTCTTGATGAAAGGAACTGTGAAATTTTTATAGACGTTGGGAGACTGTGGCCTTCATGATCAGTGACCCTTCACAACCCCTCGATGATATCCGTTTTTATTTGTTTCTACTTAACCCCTTTGGGTCTACCTCTTTTTTTTTTGCGGCAAAAAAAGAACGGGAGAGAGTGCGGGGAGAGACAGAAGTACAGCAGAGAAGAAAGTGTACTTCTGTAGACGCAACAGCTATCTCCACCCATAGTCCATGAGGGCTGCCCGCGACAGGACGGTGGACACAGACAGGATCATTGAAGGGTTGATGCGTGGTCGCGGTGCGGCCAGTAGCGCAGTTTGGGCTTGTAGACCTCGAAAAGATCAGTCGTCAAGCCGCCTGAACTAGCTGGTCTATTTTCAGTATATTCAAATGATCAGTGAGAGGGCTTGTAGACTCATACCTGTGTCTTGTACCTGAGTACTTCTGTCCCCTCCCCAATGTGATCCCTGCCGGCTCACTACAGCTCCTGTGATTTTCCCACAATTCCCACTAGCACGCAAGCACACACCAGCACACACCTACCTTTGCATCAGTGGCGCCCTAGGTTCGGGCGAGGGTATGTGTGGGGCTATGCTGATAGTGTATGTGTTACTATCTATTCGTCTATACGGCTGCTGCTGTGTAGAAAGCCGCTGACATGATGATTGTGCTGATCTTGGGACTGTTACGATTTTCAAGTTTGGAGGATATGCAGCATACCACGATATCCTGGTCTGTTTGGGCTTGAAGTGCCCCTTTTCGCTGTCCTCCTGTCTTTACCTTAGTGGCTTCCTAGATTTGGGCGAGGGCATGTATGTGGAGCTATTGATGCGTGTCTCTGTGAAAGAATATACATGGGGAGAGAAGAGATTCATGGTGGTATTCGCATTTAGAGCAGTGTGCATTCTCCTAATTTTGGCCGTTCCAGGGACCTTGATATTTCTCGCTGGCACGAGCGTCTTTTCGTTGGCCACCGGGTAGCGCGGTCGATGCGAATAATCAAGACACACCCACCTATTGACTTGCCAACACCTGGCGTGGAGGGATACGGGCGGCATCTCCATGGCATGCCACAACACCAGCATTTACAAATGATCAATGATCTGTCAGGACGCCTGTTGACCCAAAAGGGTTAAGCAGCGCTGTCACTCTCTCTCGCAACAATAATATTCCTTCATCTGACAGCGTCGTTCTTTTCCTCTGAAGGCAGCTCTGACACACCGTCACACGTAGCGGGGCTCCTCCTGAGCCTCCCCCATCCACACCGCTGTCACGTGCATACGGCTGCCAGCCTTCGATCTTTTTTTCTTGTTGAACACCCGCGCGCAGATGAGCCGCAGGAAGTTACTGAAGGTGAGTCCGTACGCACCATCTCCAACCAACTGTCGCTTCCACTACTAAACTAACTGTACAACAATGTGCGGCGGGACCTACTCAGCATCCTCAAAATATTATCAACATTTCACGGGGTATCACCATCACCAAAATACGAAAACGCCGAAACGCGTAGTCCCGTTGATACCTAGCGTGTGTAACCGATCATGGCCAAGGTTTGTGAGCGATGTAGAACGCTCACAACCCAATAGAAACGAAGAGCCTGGCTGCAAAACAAATCTCCACGAATAGTGTGGAATGGCGTCATTGCCGAAGACTAGACCTACTCTCAGCCCTACTGCTGCGAACTAACGAATGGCACTACAGCCACCAAAACTCGTCCCAGGGTCGGCAAAACCTGGAATCCCTATGGGAAATCTAGACTAGACTGCATCGATCAAAACTTGAAGCCTCGCCACCAGAACACCAGTGCACGAGTTTCTCAAAAATGCGCTATCACAATTAACAGCTCAGGGGGGTAAGCCACTGACCTCAACTCAAGCCGTATTATTTTTACCACAGGGAGCTTGGCAAGCGCAAGTCGGACAACCGCACATTCTCTCAACTGTCTCTTGCCGCTAGCTACGAGCGCCCGGCGCCAACGCAGCTAGCGGTGCTGCAGCACCGGGAACCAAGGCCCTCAACCGCACTCGAAAGCTGTACGCTTTGTCCGCCGGCACCGTATACTCTCGGTGAACCACGTCCGGGTACCAAGAGTTGTCTCCCCCCACCCCCATTGACCGGTGGTCGAGGTGCACGAACACGGGATCTTCGCTGGACGTCCTCGGGGCAAGGTCGACCGTTCGCTTAGCCTTGTGGAGCTCCGCCGCGCTGTGCAGGCTCACGCTCGCGGCCTGGCGGGCGGGTGGAGGGGGGTGGGGGGG